TGTTGGGATGATGGCGATTATTGCATGGAATGAGTGATAGTTAAATGAAAGAATTGATTGTCAATATAAAGGATGTTACTTTTATTATATAGGATATGATTAGAACGTACATTAATTTGGATTAGCCACTAGACGTAATCTAGATGTAATTGGTATTATTACTATTATTGTTTTAAAGGCCAAATCTGGTAATTTCATACTAATAATCGATAAATCAAAGTTTAATTAGTTCTTGTTCCATTTCTGTAGAGAATTTGGAATAAAAAAATTTCTTATTTTAGAACATTTACAGTTCATTGATGCAAAATTAGGTAGAAAGTAGGGATGTTAACAGTCCGGTCTGGTCCAATCCGGTCTATTTTGGTCCAGGTCTGGTCTGGTCTATTATGGTCTTCATTCTTAAGACTTTGTTAATCCAGACTGGTCCAGACTGGTCCGGTCTTAAGACTAACCGTGGTCTATTAGTCTAAGACCGGACCACATAATATCCCTAGTAGAAAGTATTGAATTCTATTGAAACGCGAAATCAATCTCTAATTGAAACCAAGTTATTATAAACGTTTCAGATGTACCTTTTAAGTCAGGGAAATACATTGAGAATTTATCTCTTAATAAGTCTATAATTCTCATAAAAAATATTCATCATTGAAAAATCAAGCAAAAACTGATGGCCAAATACTTGATCAAGTTGGATATCCTATTTTTGACAGGCTATCCGGATTCTATTAAATTCGGATTGAGTCCGCATTAGATTATATAAAAAAACCAGCTTTTGAGTACACTCTTAGGTTCGTTATTTAGGTTTTTTGGCCAATCCGAATAAAAACTTCTAATCTGAATATATATCTGAATTTAAGGATCAATTCAGATAGTTGAATTTAAGATCGAAACACTAATTTATTTGATATCTTACTTGACCAAGTATTTGATCAAGTTTTTGCTTGATCGCGCCGAGCACGATATATAGTATTTTATGGCACCAATAACCGAATGACTTCGATTGGGACCAAGGTGGTATTTAGTGTTAGACTAGTGCAAAGATGCGTTAAAATTAGGGAACTTCTATTTCCATCATAAAAATATACCATTTCATCGGTTTTACTACAAAATCTCAACTAGAGATGGGTAAATTTAGTTAATTATTATGATTTATTATTTCCAATTATTTCTTATCATTTTTTGCGTAATAAGTAAATAATTGTGATATAAGCAAAACTTAACTTGATAAACAAATTATTGAATTTAAAATTTGCTTTCCAGATTACATTTGTAAAATGTGATAAGTAATAATCATTCATCACAGAGAATAATTAGTAATAATATT